TCTTCAATTCTTTAAAATTGGTGATTGGATCATGTTATTTGAGAAGTATTTGAATTGAGATTTGTGAAATTTAGGTGTTCTTGAGATTTTATTTATGATTTTGGGATTTGTCATTTTATATTCATCTCAATAGCTTAAATTGTGACAAATTTCTTTAAACTTCATTAATGTATAAATACTTAGAAAGATCATTTTAAGGGGTGGTAAATAGCATGTGAGTAAGAGTAAGGAGTCAGTTTTTGGAAAATGGTTGTGCATTATGTTAGTACCCGTGCGGATTGTAACATGCCGGAGGGTACCCAAGCGCTAAATAGTTCAGACCCTTGATTTATTTGATCTAGTCTCACAAGTGTAATGTGAAACGTAGATGAGACTCCAAATTCGACAACTTTTATAGAAAATCCATTTTATTGCAAAACCGTTGTCAAAAATGGACTACATCACCTGATCTCCGAGTTGCTACATAATATTTTAAAAAAATTAAGAAACGCGTGACTCATGCCAAGGTCATTGTTTGTTGTAACCAAAGATGCTTGGTTCGGAACCATAGATATGAGAAGGAAAGGTTATTAATTGAGCACCCCTACTCACCCAATCAAAGATCGGCCTCTATTAAACCATGATATGATTTTTATTCACTTTACATGTTCATATTTCGATTATTTAATAAAAATTTACTATGTGAAGCAAACAAGTATATGTTATGTCATTCATTTTGGAACAACTTGATTTCACGTATTTTGAAAGAGTGAATAATGTTCAACCCCACAAAAATTGAGCAGACAAACACGAAAATCAATATTATTCCAAATTGAACAACACAACCTCCATCCACTAGCATTCATATAGATATATCAAATAAACAAATAGTCACATGGTAGAAAGCTAAACATAGTAAGAAAAGCACACACAAACGAGATGCTAAAATATAAGAAGATGCATATTTACCGATGTCCGGTGAACAGTTACAAAATAAAATAAGTAAAATATGCATGATCTTATATACAAAATCTTAATGCAATTTACTCATGAAATGCAACTAAAGATTTGGCTTCTAATTTATGGCATGTGAATTATCCCAAGAACATGAGGTAGCACACATAATCACATAAGAATTAATTAAATCTACAAATGCAAATTTAGCCGAATTAAGATGCATGAAACATGGATGCAAAGTATGGATATGATGAAAAACAAATTATGATGCATGTTTACAAATAAGGAAAGCAAGAAAAAGAATGGGATAGGAAGAAACGGGCGCGGGAAATTATTACAATACTTAAATAATTACATCTATATAATAAGTCACAAAGGTTTTTGAATTTATGTCAAAAATGTATGTGAGATACATTTTGATCCAATAGCTGAGATTAATCCCAAGTTTATATCAATGGTTTAGATTTGCTTTGGATAGCTCACATTTCCCGCCCAACACATTTCTATGTCTACCCCATACCCTCTGTCTCCCCCATACCCTCTGTCTACCATCTGTCTTCACATACCCTCTATCTACTTTCCCATTCCTACTCTCTGATGAGATGTGAAGCTTGGCTTGGTTGCTGCAAAGTGAAGATAAATACATTTGATGATTGTTATATAGATGTTGAGAGAAGTAGAGTTGAAAATATAATGTGAATGAAGGACAGACAAATACTGCTGCAGAGTTGGGAGAAGAAGATAGTGAGGTGTGTATTGTATATATTGTTATAGCATTTGATGATAACATGCGAAATTGATTTGAGAAGGTTGGAAACGAATATGCAACTTCCTGTTGCTACTTGGATTATATGTTGATCAGGAATAAGATAATCCCTTTGTGAAATCAACTACTATGTCATATATCCGATTCATAATTTGATTTCATTTGCCTTCGGGGGAAAAAAAAATGAAAATAATAGAAGTTTGTGTTGTGATAAAAATGTTTTGACAACCCAGTTTGTGAGCTAAAATGTTCTTTCAATTGCATTTGTTTTTTTAGAAAAAGTATGGATAAGAAATACTTTTGAGCATCAAAAGGATCAGAAGTTGCTCCAATTTAAGTGGTTCCATTTCCCTCTCTATCTACCGTCTAGCTCTGTTTTTCTGTTTGGATTTTGAGTTATTTGAATGATATATATATTGGGTTCAAAAGAAATTCTGGGTTCAAAAGAAATTCTGGATGATATTATTAACTATAGTAATTCATATATGGAAAAGAAATTCTGTGTACAGATTTGAATGATAACTATAGTTGTATGGAAAAGAAATTATGGGTTCAAAAGAAATTCTACTGGGTTCTTAACTATAGTTTTGAAAACATGATATTATTCAGTATTGAAAACATGATATTTGAAAACATGACTTTAATAGAGTTGAAAACATAACTATAAGATAATTTTAAAACATGATATTGAACCCAGCAATATCGAGTGGTATTACACGGTTGGTTTAAGAACCTCTGTATGATATATGCTGTATAGCGATCCTGGTTGTCCTTTTACTGTTCTGTTGTATTCCGGACTCGGTTCCGTGGAGTTGGTAGTTGTATCTATCTTGTTGTTGTCCTTTAATTCCATTTGTTTGAGTTTTAGGATGTGTTGGGCATGTTTCGAACAGGTGGGTTGAACCTTGGTCTGAAATCTTGTTGCCAGGTTTTTGGTCGTTCCGCTCGAGCGGGCCTTGTTGCGCTCGAGCGGGTACTCTGGCGCTCGAGCAGGTAGTACTTTTTGGCGTAAGTTCTGGGATGGGGAAATCTACGCTTGAGTGGACTGGTTTTCGCGCTCGAGCGGATGTACTTTATTCTTGTGTTTTGGCGCTTGAGCGGGCCTTCTTGCGCTCGAGCGTACCTAGTTTTTTGTTCTTGACGCTTGAGCGTTGTGTTCTCCGCTTGAGCGGGAATGTCGTATATCAGTTGGCAGCTGGCCATTTTAAAATCACTTTTTACATTCTCTCTCTCTCTCTTACTTTCTAAAAGACATTTTGAGAGCTCCTCTCTCTAGAAACTCCCTTCTCTCTAGGGTTTGATCTAGTTAGAGTGTCTCACTATCCTCCGGCCTTTGTAAAAAGTGTGTGGATCGTCGAGGGCTCCATTTTGATCCGTGGATCTTTGAGTTTGGAGCATTTTGGTTTTCTTAAACTTCCCCGTTTGAGCTCTAACTTCGAGGTAGGGATATCCTACTCCTTCTCATGAGTTTTGTCTTTGAATTTTAGTATTTTGATGAGTTGGGGGTTGTTGGGTAATTTTGAGAAAGTTTAGGCCTTTGTGTAATTTTGCAAAAGTTGGGTTTTTGTTTATGTAAACTTATATGCATGTTTGGCATAGAGAAATGGGATCAATATTGGTTTATTGATGAAATAGAACCTTAGGGTTGTGATGTTAATTATGGGAAATGCTCTAATTACATTGATAAATTAATTGGTATAATTAAATTGAAGAAAAGAAGAATTAAATTGAGAATGTTGGAATTGGACGTGTATGGGATTAAAGGGTGTAGTTTGATTCGTTCATCGCTCACCTAGTTGAAATGTTGATTATATATCCATTTGGTGCATTTATTTTTAGTATAGAAATAACTGCTTTGGGCTATTGGTGGAGGATAGTCTTGATTGTTGTAGACAATGCATGATGATTAGGCAAACTAAAACTAATCAATTGAGTAAGCCATTGAATATGGTAGTTGGTACAATACAACACTCAAATGTGTATTGATCGATTTAATTTGTATATGATAATTGTTTCTATACATTGCATTGTGTGGGAGGAGATGGGGGATGTACTCCACGGTTTATTGGAAGAAAGGGGCTGAACCTCTAAACCAAATCTTGTGACAGTGATACAACACTACAATGTGTATCAGGCTGCGAATTAGAAGTGTTTTCTTGTGACAGTGATACAGCACTACGATGTATATCAGGCTGCGAATTAGAAGTGTTTATTTGATTTGATATAGCACTAAAATGTATATCGTTATCAATTGTGAAGTATAGAAGTGTTTCTATGTCATGTTGATACAGCACCACAATGTGTATTGTTCGTATAGTATGGGAGTGGCTTATGTGTTATTGATACAGCATCAAAATGTATATCTACCATGAATTTCGAAAGTGTTTTTAAGATGAGTCTTATTCTCATCAAGTTATTTGGCTAAGTTTTGAGCCTTGTTTTCAAATTCAAAGTTGAAAAGAAATGAGAAATGAAATGTAACATGGACTTAATGTCATGAAATCGAAATGTGATATATATGGATGTATTTGTGTTGACTATCTATCAACTGCTAATCTTTTAGTCATTGTTCATGGCTGGTTTAGTGTATTTCTACTGGGCTGTGGCTCACCCTTTATGGGACATCATTTTCAGGTACAGGTAGCATGCCACCTCCAAGGACATAGCTTGGGAGGCTAGAGGCAGACTGACTGCTTGTTATTTGCTTTCTTTTGATGTATTACATGTAAATTCAAGCCAAGGGCTTAATATGTATTGAGTTAGTACTCTTCTTTTTTGTAACCAAGTGTTAACTTAGAAAGCTGTAAGCCCGTAGGGCATTTGCTTTTGTTGTTAACATGTAATACTTTTGTAAGAACTATTCAGATTAATGAAAAGATGGTTGGTTTCTTTGTATCAATGCATGTCTAAAGAGATGGGTTTTATGTATTATTTTGAGGGCGCTACATGCTGCATGATATATGATGTATGATATATGATATATGCTTTACCTCTCTAAATTTAAGTATGATATATGCTGTATGATCTGCTGGGTTCTTAACTGCTGGGTTCAAAAGTTATTGAATTCAAATTCTGCACTCTTAACTGCTGGGTTGAATTCAAATTTTGCACAGTTATTGAATTCAAATTCAAAAGTTATTGAATAGATATATGGGTTCAATAGAGTATTCTCTCATTTTTGTTCTTCTTCTTGATTTTTTTTTTCCTCTTTCAGCTTTTGCCTTCATCAGAGCTTCTGTGGATCACTCTGACCACTCTCTCCGTTGTTCACTCTAGCTCCATGTGAAACAGGAACTTGAAACAGAGGTGGAAATGATTAACTCGGCTGCTCGGTAATGTGAAACAAGAACTTTGCTCGGTAATGTGAAACAAAATGACTACTCCAAATTTTTATATAACATACACTTAGTTTTCATACATCCCTGTGCACTTAGTTTCTTCCCTTATTATATAGATATTTCTTCCCTTACTATATGAACCACATATTTAGTTCAAATATATTTTTTCAAATTATAATTTGGTTCATATAATTTAGTTGAAACTAATATTTCAAATTTAGTTCAAACTGATATTTGGTTCATATAATTTAGTTCACGCTAAAATATACATGAACCAATAACTGATATTTCAAATTTAACTTAACCCACATAACTGATATTTCTTCCCTTATTATATGAACCACATACTCAGTATATTTTAGTTCAAATTTAGTTCAATGAGGGATGAAATTCTGTGATGAAATTTTTATATAACATACACTTAGTTTTCATATATCCTCAGCAAAATATTTATACTCAATGACTACTCAGTAAAATATATGTATGGTAGAAATATATTAAATTCTTAGTTGGTTCAGTTTTAATTTTGATTTTGAAATGGGTTTGAATGATTTTGGTTTTGATTTCGAAATGGGTTTGTATGATTTCGGTTTTGATTTTGAAATAAGTTTTCGAATCTCTGTATTTTGGTATTTATGTATTTCTATGTATTTCTATTTATGTATTTTGATTTCGGATTTGTATGATTTCGGTTTGTATGTTTGCGGCTCTATATTTTGGTTTTGAAATACAGCAACTCAAGGTTTTGGAGGTGGTGGTTCTACACATGCTTTCAACACCGCTTCATTCTGCAAGACCATTATCAAAACACTGATCTTTTTAAAAATTTAAAGAACATGTACAACTACGCCATATATGACCCATTCCAATGTTCGAAAGGAACATCATAAACTAGACTTTTACTGAGGATTTGAATTAGCATTTACGAATGAGGAAAAAGAAAAAACCCATAAAATAGATAAACAACATGAAACATGCAAAAGAGAAGACATCAGCACCTGATAGAAGAAATGCATCTATTTGGATGAATAGAATGTTAACTCACATCAAATGTTAATCCACAATTACCACACCCATCCTACAAATTATAAGTCATTAGGCTATACATCAGAAAATTGAAGCATATGTGAGCAAGAGAGAAGGAAAGCGTGGGTGTGGCAGAGAGAGGGTAACTGAAGCTGAGCAATAAAAGAATAACATAGCTTGGATTTTGAGGTTTTACTAAAATAATTAACGCCTCAACTTTGTGGGTAATAAGATATGATGGCAGGGCATCTTCGGCAATCTTGGTGGAATTTGGTCCCCTCTATTATCTTTTGTTTCCAAAAAAATAAAAATACAATTTTTGCATTTTAAATACCAATCACCAGGAAGCAAGGCTAATCTTTTGGTCAGTTTACCAAGGCTAATCTTTTTTAATATACTCCATGAAGCAACTGAATAAGCTATATACATACCAATCACCTTTCCAGATTATTTGTAGATAAATTATAATTCCAATATTCAAAAATCATCCCATAAGAATGTCTACTCCTACAGTATTAACTCAATTACTCATCCCTAGCAAACTCTAAGATCCTGAAAATACATATATAATAATGAAATAGGAACCAACTACGTTGACCATGTTATTTTAAGTATGAATGTCCATTTATTTTATTTATTGCCATTCACTTAGTTTCACATGGCTCTATGTATCCCCTTGCACCCAACAATATCACTTAATTTTTAATTGAAATCAGGAACTTGAACTTGAAATAGGAACTTTGCTCGGCTGCTCGGTTAGTTAATCAGGAACTTGGAGCCATAAAAAATAAAAAGCTCGGCTGCTCGATTAGTTTATTACTTTGGTAACGTTTGGCTGCAGCTTTTGTTATTGCTTTGCTTTGATATTGAGCCAACTGAGTAAAACTGAAGAAGAATTCTGCTCAATGTGTTTTCAAAGCAGAATTTCTTATCACCAAAGAGTAGTTGCAAAGGCTATATTTTTTATCACCAAAATCACCAAATTCTGCTCAATATGTTTACTGTCAACTGTTTATCACCAAAATCATAAATTTTGGTTCAGCCAAAAATTCTGCTCAATGGATTTTTTAAATTAGTTTGGTGTTATACACTAGAAAATTGGTTTCAAAAAAGGTTTTTACAGATGTGCTTTGATTTTTCTATGTTTGTTATTTAAAATGAAATTCAGTGCTCTTAAAAAAATAGATGATCTTGACAAATCATGTGAATCTGTGTGTTTCCAAATTTTGATTCACATGAGTGCCTTGGATTTTTTAATATTAGTTGTATTATATAAAAAGATTTTGTATATACAAATTGTGCATAAATTCAATTTTAAAAAATTTGGTTTGTTTGTTTACTTAATCATCAACTAAGAAAATATTAGGTGTATTTTTTTCTTTTTATTATAGATTTAGTATACAATAACTTTAGTTTCTGTCAGTGATTACAATTTTTTTTACTTGCTCTTATATTTTGATTTGCAGTATTGGTGAACATTAAAAATCTTATATGTTTATTTCTTAATTTGCATTAACATTATTGAGAGTTGTTATTTATTTGAGTTTTGTAGACAATGTAATACAAGTAAAAATGTTACAAGTTCTTTAAGAAAAAAAAAATTTAAATATATTTTTATAACTGCATTTTAATCTTAAAATTATTTACATCGTGTCTACTGTTAATTTTGATTAAACATTGAGCAGAATTATTGTGAACCAAATTTCTCTCAGAACTATTAAACATTGAGGAAATGTGTCTTTCATCACCAAATTTCTGTCAATTTTTAATTAGAATTATTGTCAATTATTTTAATAAAAAAAAACATTAAGCAGAAATTGGTTTGCTGTTCAAAAAAAAAAAAAAAGGTTATACACATTGTGTTTACTATCAACTGTGTATAATTGTTGGTCTGTCAATAATTGCCAATTATTTGAACTATGAAGCAGAAATTATTTGAACTAAATTTCATCAAAGAATTTAAAAAAATATTATGTGAACCAAATTTCTGTCAATTTTGATTAAACATTAACCAGAATTATTGTGAACCAAATTTCTCTCAGAACTATTAAACATTGAGGAAATGTCTCTCATCACCAAATTTCTGTCAATTTTTAATCAGAATTATTAAAAAAAAATTTAATAAAAAAAAACATTAAGCAAAAATTATTTTTTCATCAAAGAATTACTGTCAATTATTTGAACTATTAAGTACAAATTTGGTCCTTACACATAAGGTTGGTCTCAAAATTATTTGGCTATTATACACAGGAATAACGTAATAGATCCAAAATTTTCACTAAATCAAGGATGAACAAAAAATTTCCCCAAATCTCCAATAATAATACTTTTAATCTTTTTTGATAAAATTTGACAATAGAGTATGGATAGGAGATGGTTTTCTTTCATAAAAAATGGTATGGATAAGAGATGGTTTTTAGGATAAGTTTGGAATTTTTTTGAAAAGATTTGAAGATGCGAAGAGAGTAAGGATTGGAGTATTCATATCAGATCAAGCTTTTAATCAAATTTTCACTCAAATTTGATGAACAGAGAGAGAGAGAGAGAGAGAGAGAGAGAGAGAGAGAGTAAGTTAAGTAATTTACTAATCATAACCATCATGGTTTGGTTGTCCTGACTCCTTATTGTTGTTGTTAGAACTTAAAGCTTGGATTAGGATTGGTTGTCATGACTCCGGTGGGTAAATTGAAGTGTAAAACATTTAGCTGATTACGTCACTATTCATAAAATTGGTCTGTCTTAAATTTTTAAAATTTGGTCAAGATTTGTTTAACTTTGATCAATTTTGCTGCATTATTAGAAAGAAGTCAAGTACTCTCTCTCATACCCTAGCCCAAGGACCTTCACAATTATTTATTTTTTTGTTCTTCTTAGAGGCTTGAGCGCTAGATATAGTAGTAGTGGGTAGTTTTGTAGATTAACTTGATATTGAAAATCATGTGTGCACTGCTACTTGCATTGTGCCCTTAGTGAGGCATAGTCGGGTTGCTTCATCGTAGTTATGTGATGATATCTTTTGATGTAATATGAGCTTCTATTCTCCCTTTTATTTATTTATTCTTTCCAAAATAAAAACCTAGGCATTATTCATTTCTATTCAACTTACTAAACCATCAAGCGCATAACTAATCACTGGAACGCTCAGTTGAAGAACTCTACACGCTCAATTTTGTTTTTCAAAAATAGATGCAATCAACCATGATTTAGTCACCCTTTTAATGAAAGAACATTTCATTTAGTAGGTCACACATTTATGCAAGATATATTTGTTGTGTGATTCTAAAAAGAAAGGGACTGGTTTTTTTCATTTAATTTCTTTTTTAATATCTAGAGCTCCTAATTAAAAGAAAAATTAAAGAGACTTGGCATTTTAACATTTATGTGTAATATGGCAAGAGAGTTTATGTTTTCTTTTTTCTTTTTTTGGCACCTTTTTAAAGGAGTATAGTATTCTATGTTGTATTTCAAAAAAATCTGGTGAATGTATATATGTGTATATTATTTTAGTTGTCTTCATGAAAAAAAATGTATTAACTTACAAGTATTTAACTTAACCCAAGTATTTAACATAATCCGTTTTGCTTTGAATCAAATTCACCAAGTATTTAACTTAACCCACAAAAATGTATTCAACATTTTATTATAAAAAAAAAAAAGTGTACCATTCAAATGTAATATATTTGTTGTGTGATTCTAAAAAGAAATGGACTGTTTTTTTTCAATTTTTTCATTTTTTTGAATATCTAGAGTTCCTAATTGAAAGACTTGGCATTTTAACATTTATGTGTAATATGGCAAGAGAGTTTATTTTTTATTTTTTATTTTTTTTTGCACCTTTTTAAGGGAGTGTAGTACTCTATGTAGCATTTCAAAAAATTCTGGTCAATGTATATATGTGTGTATTACTTTAGTTGTCTTCATGAACAAAAAATGTATAAAACTTACAAGTATTTAACTTAACGTAAGTATTTAACATAATCCGTTTTACTTTGAA